CTGTAGACATCCCAGTGGGAATGAAGTAGTATCTCATTGTGCTTTTGATTTACAATTCTCTGATGGTTAATAATGGCCATTTGTATATCTTCTTTGGAGAATCACCTATTTCAGATCCTTTGCCCATTTTTCAATTATTTGTTTTTATTGTTGAGTTACAGGAGTTATTTACCTATTTTAGATATCAGATACGAAATTTTCCATATTTTTCCAAACATTTTTTCCCATTCTTTGGATCACCTTTTATTTTTATGACAGCATTCTTTGAAGCACAGTTTTGATGAAGTCCAGCTTATCTGTTTGTTGTTTGTGCTTTTGGTGTCATATCTAATAGCCCATTGCCTAATCCAGGGTCATGAAGATGTATGCCTATTCTTGCTTCTAAGAGTTTTTATTGTTTTAGCTCTTACATTTAGGTCTTAGATCCATGATGAGTTAATTTTTTTTCTTTTTTTTCAAAGACTTTTTTTTTTTTTTTTTTTTTTTTTAAGATATGGGGTTTCTCCATGTTGGTGAGGCTGGTCTCAAATTCCTGACCTCCAGTGATCTGCCCACCTCCACCTCCCAAAGTGCTGGGATTACAGACTTGAGCCACCTCGTGCGGCCAGAGGTAATTTTTATGTATGATATGGGATAGGGGTCCAACTCTATTATTTTAAATGTGGATATCCAATTGTCCCAGCCCCATTTGTTAAAAAGAATTTGATTACATACTGTTGTCATTGTAATAGAGGAGAGTACAAGTGCTTCAGGTTACAGCTCTGAGATGACAGAGCTGTAACAGGAATAATGATGCTGTTCTATTTTGTGTGGCACTGTAAGTGACATTCAAATCAGGAGAGAGAGAGGACTATTATCTTCATGTGGAATAATTAAGTACTTTGCATTTATTTCCTTTTTGCTCTAGGTCCCAGGTCTCTGAAAATCCCTTTGTGTTTTTATGCCTATAAGATACACAAAGCTTTATTTAAAATACTCTCTTCTTCATCTATCTGCTTCTGTGAAGAAAAATTAAAAAAAAAATTTTAATGTATTCTCTTATTCTATAAGGAGGGAAGGATTTATTCTATGAAGAGGGAAGGATTAAGAAATGATTGATTTGTAAATAGAGATAATATTAATAATTTAGTAAAAATAGGGGTTTTTTGTTCAGCGTTTCTAAAAAGGCAAAAATGTATTTGGTAGCTTGTTTCAAATCGTTTTTACCCAGAAGTGTTATCCTACCTGACAATGTGTCTTGTGGAACTCAAGAGTAGTTTCCATTTTACCATTTTCTAGCTTGGTAATGGAGGAATTGGCCAAGTACATCCTAAGATGTACACAAAGGAAAGGTCAAAGGTCAGATTCATGCAGACTAGGAGACAGTCCTGGACAGTAGGGGTTGGTGTATGTACATTAGTATGTTCTGGGGCTAGGAATTTTAAACTGATTTATGAAAATTTGTAGTGTTACATTGCTTTCTACTTGTTTTGCATTCTTAAAGTTGGAAGGAAGCAAATAATATATTTGATATCTTTGGGCAAATCTGGGCTAGATTTTTAGGGGAGTGACTGTCTGTTCCATGAGTTAACCTCAAGAATGCAAGATATACCAACTGTTTTCCTGCCAACAACTGGCCCTGCCTAAAAATCTAATATAGAAAATATCAGTTGAATTTTTAAGATCTAAAAACAGTTTCATGTGTTTCTTTGTTAAATGCAAATACTCCACAGAAGGGGTATCAAATGTCTACCTGGCAAGTGGGACAAGGTAATTAGATAGTGAATAGAAAGGGCAGGAGATTCCAAAGTAGAAGACACTTAACACTTTGTTTTTTTCAGTTAGAAAAGTAGCTGATATTCATTATAAAAACTTAGAAAAGTGTGGAGAATAAGAATCCCGAAATTCTACCACCCACAGGTAACCACTATTGACCTTTTAGAGTATTTTTCTTCTCCCGTGCCTAATGTTAGTCGTTGTGGTCAATGCACTTTCGCTTATTTATCATAAACAGGTTCTCGTATCATTAAAAACTGTCAACACTTTTTATGTCAGCATCAATTTCAGTGCCTGCGTACATTTCATGTAATAGGTGTATAACAATTGACTTGAATATTTAGGTTGTTCCTTATTGGGCTTTTTTATTTCTAAGAAACAGTTTTGTTAGTCATTTACTCTAGGGACCTTTTTGCCTAGAGCCTGTGGGAACGAGGCTAGTGAGTGAGCTGTTCAGAGGAGATGTTTCTTTTTCAGTGCAAGTTATTCTAGACATCCTGATGTGTCTCAGAGTGCTTCTCCTCTTATTAACTTACCTAGAAATAATGGCATTTTTAAGAAAATGGTTTTATTTATTTACAGACAATAAAATTTACTCACTTTAGGTATTTATTGCAGTCACTCTCCTTCCCTGAACCTTGTCCCCAGGCAACCACTGACCTGAAATGGCCATTCGGGTCTTTTTATCACTTTACTCCGGTCTTTTTATTGCTAAGAAAAGTTGCCTTAATTTTGAATATTTCTCTGAACCATTTATTTTAGTTTTCTTTTACTCATTTTTATAATTAACAGACTTAATATTAACCATCTGCGTCTCACATGGCTCAGCTGCCCTCGTTCTGACCCTTCTTCTCTTTTCCTAAGATAATTTTTTAAATACTTCTTTAAACATGTTATTTTTTTCTTCTCTCTCTCTCTATCTCTCTCTCTCTCTCTCTCTCTCTCTCTCTCTCTTTTGGGTCTCATTATATTGACGAGGCTGATCTTGAACTTGAACCCCTGGCCTCTTGTGGTCCTCCTACCTTGGCCTCCCAAAGTGCTGGGAGGCTTGAGTTTTCATGCCTGGCCTCTAAGAAAATTTTTGAAGATTATTGTTGGTTTTATTAATTTTTGAGATCGAGCTTGTACTTTCTAAAATTTTATTGGCTTCCTGTAGAATGTATTAGGTTGAACCATTTTAAATTGTTCATATTTAATTATTTTGACCTACAAAGATGACAGTGTCATCTGATTTAACCTAGTATTCTTTCAGAGGTATGTTCTTCATTTGAGTTTTCAGAATAATGCTTCCTGTTTCCTTGGAATATCACATTTCTTCACAGAGCTCATGTGTCTTTGTAAAAATTACTCATCTGTGGCCAGGTGCAGTGGCTCATGCTTGTAACCCTAGCACTTTGGGGAACCAAGGCAGGCAGATTGCCTGAGCTCAGGAGTTTGAGACCAGCCTGGGCAACAGTGTGAAACCCCATCTCTACTAAAATACAAAAAAATTAGCTGGGTGTGGTGGCATGCACCTGTAGTCTCAGCTACTTGGGAGGCTGAGGCAGGAGAATTGCTTGAACCTGGGAGGCAGAAGTTGCAATGAGCCAAGATTGCACCACTGCACTCCAGCCTGGGTGAGGACAACAGAGTGAAACTCCGTCTCCAAAAAAAAAAAATTATCTGTGATTAAGAAGCACCAGATTCAGGCTTAAGTTTGGTGTAAAGACAAGTATACAGAGTCATTTCTCCATTGGAGTATTCAGAGTCTTACTTCTCAGAGTTGATTTTTCCAGGCTCCTGGTCCAGGTTCCTGAACTTAGGGCCTGGCTAAGCTTTCATGTAGTGGTCTTCTGAAGTATTTTAGTGTAACTACAAGAGTGAGGGTGAAAGAGAGTTAAGACCAGCCTGACCAACATGGTGAAACTCTGTCTCTACTTAAAAATACAAAAATTAGCTGGGCGTGGTGGCAGGTGCCTGTAATCCCAGCTACTTGGGAGGCTGAGGCAGGAGAATCACTTAAACTGGGTAGGCGAAGGTTGCAGTGAGCCAAGATCAAGCCATTGCACTCCAGCCTGGGTGACAGAGTGAGACTTCATCTCCAAAGAAACCCAAAAAGACCTATGTAGTGTTTTACAAACTATACTCCACCAAAACATTGTGTGTTTTAGTGCTTCCACAAATATTGAAATATTTTCTAACAGACAATAAAAGTTTAAGATGGAGTTCTGTGAGATTTTTGTCTGAAAAAAAATGTTCTGCTAAAAACAAAAGTTGAAAAAGCGAGTGTTTTAAGAAATCTAAGGTAAATTCTAGACCATTTTCCAGAAAATGTATGTCTTAGTCCAAAAAATGCATTTTGGTTATGTAACAAAATACCGTAAACTGGGTAGCTTATGAATGATAGAAATTTATTTATCATGGTTCTGGGGCCTGGGAAGTCCAAGATCAAGGCACCGTCAGATCTGGTGTCTGATGAGAACCCTCTTTTTAGTTGATGGAAGGCACCTTAGAAGAAGGCTCTGTGTCCTCATATGGTGGAAGTGGCTAGCTAGCTCTCTGGAGCTGCTTTTATTTAGAGGCAGAGACTCACTATGTTGCTTAGATCTGGTCTTGAACTCCTGGCTTCAGGTGATCATCCCACTTTGGCCTCTCATGGTGCTGGAATTACAGGCATGAGCCACCATGCCCAGCCTGGGGCCTCTTTTATAAGGGCACTAATCACAATCATGAAGGTTCTACCCTCATGACTTACTCACTTCCCAAAGGCCCCACCTCCTCATACCCTCACCTTGGGGGTTAGGATTTCAACATAAGCATGTGGGTACGGGCATAAATATTCAGATTATAGCAATGCAGAAAATGAAAACCTGCATTTCCCATGATGTATTACGATCAGGAGTCTACCTTTGGCTATAGGACTTCAAGTAAGGGAACCATATATCCTAGAATGCAATGAATCACATCTCTTTTTTCTTATCCATTCTTTTTCTTTTGAGTTATATACTATATTGGGACGTGTTGTTTTCTGATTAACATAAGCAATGATATAATGGAGAAGAGAAAGGTTTAACATGAAATTTATTGCCTCTAAGAGTATACGCACGTGGAGGTGTATGAATGCCTGATTCTTCAAGTGGTGTAAACATTGATTCTGTAAACTCTAGGGGGAGTGGATAAACCATCATCTTTTTTCTCCCTTTTAAAATAAAATAACTTTTAACTTCTGATCATAGCCCAAATATATTACATATTGTGAGGAATTTTTAAACTTCTGAAAAATACAAATAATAAATATCAGTGCAACCCACCAGTCATCTGATTCCTAGACATGAACTTCAGCCTTTCAGTATATTCCTCCAAGCTTCCATGTGCATTTTAAAGCTACTTTTTCCTTTTTCCAAAATTGGAAGTATACTCAAAATGCCTGTGGCCTGCGGTTAAGAAGTTGTATAAGGAAGCAGAAGTCATTGTAACACAAAAATATTCACTGACGAAGTGGTTGACTCATTGCCATTCAAAGTCCTTTCTTTCTTCAAGCTTGAACTTATTTCCACCAATTTGGCTACTGTCACTGTCTCTATGCTGTGGGATATTATAATGCAGATAGGGTGGGAAGTTACTTCTTAAGATTGGTGAAAGACGCTGTAGATCTCTGTGATTACTGACAAGTCTGTCTCCGTTGGACCAGTTGAAAAACTGATGAATAAAAGAATCAATAAAGATAATGAAAGGCTAGGCATTCAGAGAAGAGTGATTGAATATATTGTAATATTTAAAGCTGAATATTAAGATTGCCTTTTGGGAACATTGATGTAGCTCCCATTAAGTGTTAACACCATGATGGCGCCATGTAAGTCAAGATGAAACAAAGGAGATGATGTGCTGTTATGTATCATTGTGATAGAAGAATTGCATTCCCTCCCAGCAAACACACAAAAGTCCACTGCTTTTATTCATCCTTTGATTTAGTCATTCTGTGATCTGTGATAACAAGGAACGCTTGTCATAATTCTCTGGACTTTTATATTTGCTACAATAAATAACCAGTAACCACATTTTCCTACCAAGTAAGCATATGCCTTAGAAAGGCTATTATAATTTTATCCAAAATTAAGTACATGCTTTAAAAGACCTATAAGCAGTCTGGTCGTGGTGGCACATGCCTGTAATCCCAGCACTTTAGCAGGCTGAGGTGGGCAGATCACTTGATGTCAGGAGTTAGACTAGCCTGGCCAACATGGTGAAACTTTGTCCCTACTAAAAAATACAAAAATTAGCTAGGCATGGTGGGATGTGCCTGTAATCCCAGCTACTTGGGAGGCTGAGGCAGGAGAATCGCTTGAACCTGGGAGGCAGAGGCTGCAGCAAGCCGAGATTATGCCATTGCACTCCAGCCTGGGCAACAGAGCAAGACACTGTCTCAAAACAAAACCAAAAAACAAGAAAAAGAACTATAAGTAGAAATTATAATAACTTTTTTAGAAATAAATAAATTTTAACCATTTTAAAATCTTAACAGTTCATAGCTGGGCATGGAGGTGCATGCCTGTAATCCCAGCTACTCGGGAGGCTGAGGCAGGAGAATCGCTTGAACCCAGGAGGCAGAGGCTGAGTTGAGCCAAGATTGCACCACTTTGCTCCATCCTGGGCAGCAAAAAAAAAAAAAAAAAAAAAATCTTAACAGTTCAATATATTAATATAAGGTACCTTCTCTTCTGCAGTTCTTCAGGCCACATTTCTCACATTCTTCTCACTCTTTGATATATGGATAGCTGGTGACCATTAGGTTGGTATATGCAAAGTGTCTTTGCTAATGTGCTAAAATGAGTTTTTAGTTATCTGCTAATCTGTGCTTTTATTTATCCTAGCTGTCATATGAATTAATCAGCTTCTGGAGTACTTGTATTTGCCATTCTCTGAAATCCCTCTCACATTTTACATGCACTTGAATTACCTGGGGATCCTCTTAAAATGCAGATTCTGAATCAAAAGTCGTGAAGGTAGCTCTGCATTTGGCACCAGTTCCCATGCCATGCCAGTGCTGCTGGCCCTTCGGACTATACTTTAAATAGCAAGGCATTCAGTAACAGTTTTGGGATCAGAAGCTATTGAAGCCATTTCTTATTATGATATCTTAATGATACATGCCTAGTTTATTAGTAATGTATATTTTTCAATTAGTGATATATATGTTGAATTATGACTTGCGGTATGTAATTTTTTAAAATAATTTTTGTGTCAGGCAATGATCTACAGTGGTGGTATTTGTAGAGAATGGTGTTGACAAACTGTAAAAATACTTCACAAAAAGGTTTATTCTAAGATGAATATGAAGGACCATGGCCTGAGGCATAGTCTCAAGAGGTCCTGAGAACAGGTGTCCAAGGTGGTTGGGTTACAGCTTGGTTTTATACATTTTAGGGAAACATCTTATGTCTCAATCAATACATGTGAGGAATGCATTGGTTTGGTCTAGAAAGATAGGACAACTCAAAGAGGGATTCAAAGATTTTCTGACTGGCAGTTGATTGAAAGAGTTAAGTTATATGAAAACCTGGAATCAACACAAAGGAGTGTTTGGTTTAAGTTAAGGGAGTCTAGAGACCAAGGTTCTTATTATATAGATGAAGTCTCATAGGTGGCCACCTTTCGAGATAATAGATGGCATAATGTTTCTTATTTAAACCTTCAAAAGGTGTAATCCTAGCATTTTGGAGGCCGAGATGGGAGGATCACTTGACCCTGAGTTCCAGACCAGCTTGGCCAACATAGTGAGACCTTGTCTCTATTTTTTTTTTTTTAATTAAAAATAAAAATAAAACGTGCTAGAGACTGGCATGGTGACTCATACCTGTAATCTCAGCACTTTTCGAGGTGGAAGTGGGAGGATCATTTGAGGCCAGGAATTGACTAGCCTGGGTAACACAGCAAGACTCTGTCTCTACAAAAATATTAAAAAATTATCCAGCATGCTGGCGTATGTCTGTTGTCCCAGCTACTCAGGAGACTGAGATGGGAGGATGACTTGAGGCCAGGAGGCTGAGGCTGCAGTGAGCCATGATTGCGCCACTGAGCTCCAGCCTGGGCGACAGAGCAAGACACTGTGTCCAAACAAACAAACAAAAATAAATAAAATAAATACATTAAAAAGGTGCTAGACTCTGCATTAATCTCTTCAGGACGGGGAGGGCCCAGAAAGGGAAAGATCTAGTTATGTTATAGAGACTCTTTACAGATGCAGAATTTACCCCTACAAAAGACAGCTTTGCAGGGCCCTTTCAAAATGTGGCAAAGAAACATTTTGGGGTAAAATATTTTTATTTCCTTCTTTATCAGTCACGTGATGTTATACCAGAGTCAGGCTGGAAAGTAAGCCACACTATACATGGTTAAATAAGACCCATCTGATGAGATTTTATGGTTTAGAGAGCAGGACTCCCCAGACCCTTTAGATAGGAATTTGGGCAAGAGAGGAAAACAAAGGTCAGAGTTTAGTCCTCAGTGATAACATACCAATGATGATACACTAGTTAACATGTATTGACTACTTATTATGCCCCAGACACCATGCTTTACAAAGGTGAACTAAATTTTCTCAATAAAACCATGAAGTAGATGCTATTATTGTTATCCTCATTTACAAATGAGGAGGCTGAGGCTGGTAAGAAGGTAGTGAGTTATTGCAATTGATTATTCACATCAGTTAGAGATCGAACTCCTTGCTCTACTCTAAGCCCCTTCTCACTGCTGCACTAGACTTGTCTAATAATAACAATAATAATAGAAAAAACAAGTTTAGTGACTTGCTCATGATAGCACAGCTGGACGACAGCCATGGCATCAACTCCAGAGCTTGGTACCTGTAATCTCTTTACTAGTCTGACAGTTCAGAAACTACAGGCTTTATATGACATGAACATGAACTCTCTAGGTTGTTAAACAATTCGTGTAAGATAGAGTTGAATTTTCTAGCTTTTTTTTCCCAAAAGGCCTTTGAAAAGCATTTTCTTTTCCTTAGGTTTTCCTTTCTATGGCTTTCCCATAGATACTGATAATTTGTGATTCCTTACCAGTTTTTTTTTAGTCTTCCATGCTGCATATGTGTGTTAATTTGTGCGTATGTGTAAAAGTATCTCAACTTTTATATTCCTTTGCTGCAAAAATTTATGAAGAATGAAAAGTAGATAGTATCCTGCCCTGAATGAAAGATAAAAGTATTCTTATTAATGTTGAAAATTTGTTTTCTTCCAGAGAGTGGCCTAGGAAAATAAGATAGATGGAATGCTGCAGAAGACTGATTGATCCTTTTTTTTTTTTTGGGACCAAGTTTCACTCTTGTTGCCCAGACTGGAGTGCAATGGTGTGATCTTGGCTCTCTGAAACCTCTGCCTCCCAGGTTCAAGGATTCTTCTGCCTCAGCCTCCCAAGCAGCTGGGGCTACAAGCATGCCCCACCATGCCTGGCTAATTTTTTGTGTTTTTAGTAGAGATGGGGTTTCAGTGTGTGGACCAGGCTGTTCTCGAACTCCTGTCCTCAAGTGATCCATCCACGTCAGCCTACCAAAGTGCTGGGATTACAGGCATGAGCCACTGCGCATGGCCGATTCTTTAAAATTTTTTTTTTAATTTTTATTTTAATAGTGTTTGGGATTATACTGATTAATTCTTATGTAGGTTCTTAAAATTTTGAAAATTTTTTCTTCATTCATAGGGTAATGGTAATCTGTTGACTTGTGTGGAGACATACCTTTCACTCCAAGTTCTCCTGCCAAACCACCAAATGATCTTTGAGAAGCCAGGAGCCCCTCTCTCCAGCTTCTCGGCCTGTCAGATGTTAGCGTTTGAGATACATAGTCCTTGAGCCGTCTGCGAGCATGTTAAGGAGAAACAAACACAGGAAGAGTTTGTATTGCTAACGTACAGGCATTTGTACAAATTTGCAAAAATGAGTGGAAGTTGTTTAGGATTAGAAAAGTTTGGCACTTCACTTGCAGTTTAATTTGGAAGTCAATAAACCTAGAATAGGTTATAATAAATAACATAGCTAACATGTGGCATCTCGAAGTAATATGAGGCTATTTACTTTCGTTCTCTCTCTTTCTTTTACAGTCTATCAATATTATGGAACTGACTTTACAGAAATATGGAAGTTATGAAAAATTTGAACAAGCCACTGGTGGTAGCTTGCTCTCTAAAACTCGAATCTGGAGTCACGTTAGGAGGTACATGATGAAGGAAGGCTGCCTAGGGGAGGTATGAATTGTGAGTGAACATGAGGAGTTACTGTCAGTAATAGTCAGTTATAGTTATTGTATTGCATTGTATTGTATTGTACTCTATTGTATTTATTTTATTTTTCAAGACAGAGTCTCGCTCTGTCACCCAGGCTGGAGTGCCTTGGTGCAAGCTCAGCTCACTGCAACCTCCGCCTCCCAGGCTCAAGCGATTCTCTTGCCTCAGCCTCCTGAGTAAATGGAGTTCCCCCCTAGAACACAAGGAGTTACTGTCAGTGACAGTCAGTTGTGGGCATTGTATTGTATTGCATTATACTGTATTGTATTTATTTTATTTTTTGAGATGGAGTCTCGCTCTGTCACCCAGGCTGCAGTGCAGTGGTGCAATCCTGGCTCCCTGCAACCTCCGCCTTCCAGGTTCAAGCGATTCTCTTGCCTCAGGCTTCCTGGTAGCTGGGTGATTTGGCTATACATTCCATCTTGGTTTCTGGGAGATTTAAGGTGGTTATAAACAAAACAACATTGTTAATTTGCAGGCCCATTTTTTCTTTGAAAGCTTCTCCCCTACCTTCATGTTTTGTTTTATGTCTGTGTACTTCTTTTCTTACCCTTAGATTGTAGTTCATCTCACTGAGGACCTGCTTTCCCGAGCATCAATGACAATAGTAAACGGATGTCCAACTCTGACCATCAATGTGTCCACTGCACGTGAACATTGGCTGGAGGGAATGCTGAGGCATGAAATAGGTAGGGGCAACCCTTTCCGTTTGTTTATTTGTAATATCAGGAATTAACTCCAAAGAAATGTTCTTTTAGAATGGGTTTTTTTCTTAGTAGTATTTTATTTTTTTAGTAGAAGAAAATTTAGTAAAAAATCATGAGCTTCACTTGGACTCATTTCAAATTAGATTTTTAAAAGGAAGTGTTTAGGTTATTGAATCTGGGAAGTCATTTAATTGCTCTGGATTTGCCCTACAATTAAACTGAGGGGGTTGAATTAAGGTATCTTTGAGGTTCTTTTCAAATATCAAGTCTGTGATTCTTCTCTTTAAAAAAGTAAATTATTATAAAGGTTATACGTCCTCTCTTGAAACATGTGATCCTTTTGAAGGCAGTGTACACTCTTTCATACCCAAGAGATGTTAGGGTCAGGTCATTGTCTACTTTGTTTTGATTTGTATGCACACATTAATTTGGTGTTAGAATTTTTTTTTTTTTTTTTTTTGAGATGGGATCTTGCTCTGTCACCCAGTCTTGAGCACAGTGGCACGATTTCAGCTCACTGCAACCTCTGCCTCCTTGGCTTAAGTGATTCTCCTCACCCCAGCCTTCTGAGCAGTTAGGGTCCCAGGTGCATGCCACCACACCTGGCTAATTTTTTGTATTTCTGGTAAATATGGGGTTTCACCATGTTGCCCAGGCTGGTCTCAAACTCCTAAACTCAAGTGATCTGCCCTCCTCAGCCTTCCAACGTGTTGGGATTCCAGGCGTGAGCCACTGTGCCCAGCTGGTTTTAGAACTGTTGATGAAATCTATCTTTTGGGGAAGAATTAAAACAAAAATGGCATTTCTTCTTCATGTAACTTTTCTTCTCCATAGGCACACATTATTTTCGAGGTATTAACAACCTCCAGCAGCCATGGAACAATTGGACTGGACGTAAAAAACATGAGCTCAAGCCAAATAATCCCACAGAGGAAGGACTAGCAAGCATTCACAGTGTTCTGTTTAGAAAAGACCCCTTTTTATGGAGGGCTGCCCTCCTCTACTACACTGTTTATCGAGCCAGCCAAATGTCTTTTTGTGAACTCTTCAAAGATATTGGCAGGTTTGTCAAGGACCCCAATACAAGATGGGATTATTGTGTGCGGGCCAAGAGGGGATGGACTGATACTTCCCAACCAGGTGGGTGTCCCTTAACTGTAGGTTTTCTGACTTACTGAGTAGTTGTCTAGTGGTTTTGTTTATATCCTAATCCTTGAATCACAAAATTGACTCACTTTTGAAAAATTAAGCCTTTGTTACCTGAGGTCAGAACTGGTTTTCCCAAACCAGATTTTCTTAGCATTATTTTTGCCCAGCTCAATTTTGAAAAATCTCAGACCTACAGAATATGGAAAGAATGGTAAAATGAGCACCCATCTACCCTTCATCTGGATTCACCTATTGTTAACATTTTGCTATTTTTGCTTTCTCTTTGACTTTTTAAAAACAGCTATACTGAGATATAATTCACATGCTATAGTTTACCCATTTAAAATGTACAGTTCAGTGATTTTTAGAATATTCGCAGAGTTGCGCAACCATCGCCACTGTCTAATTCCAGAATGTTTTCATTATCCCAAAAGAAACCCATACCCATTAGCATTCATTCCCCATGTTTTCCCCTTCTCTCCAGCTCTAAGCAACTGTTTTTGGTGTTATTTTCATCTCTGTAGGTTTACCTATTTTGAACATTTCATATAAATAGAATTATCTAATGTGATTCTTTGTGGTGGGCTTCTTTCAGTTAGCATGGTGTTTTCAAAATTCATTCATATTGTAGCACGTATCAGTGTTTTGATCATTTTATTGCTGTGAGGTAGGCAGTCCCCTAGCAGAGCTCAAGCGCTGTGCTGGGAGATCCGCTGCTCTCTTCAGAGCCAGCAGGCAGGAATAGTTAAGTCTGCTGAAGCTGTGCCCACATCCAACCCTTCTCCCAGGTGCTCTGACCCAGGGAGATGGGAGTTTCATCTATAAGTCCCTGACTGGGGCTGCTGCTTTTCTGTCAAGAGATGCCTTGCCCAGAGAGGAAGAATCTATAGAAAGACAGTCTCCATTTTTATTTTTTTGAGATGGTGTTTCACTCATGTTGCCCAGGCTGGAGTACAATGGTGCCATCTCAGCTCACTGCAATCTCCACCTTTTGGGTTCAGGTGATTCTCCTGCCTCAGCCTCCCACATAGCTGGGACTGAAGGCATGCACCACCATGCGCAGCTAATTTTGCATTTTTTCGTAGAGATGGGGTTTTGCCCTGTTGGCCAGGCTGGTCTTGAACTCCTGAACCCAGGTGATCCACCCATCTTGGCCTCCCAAAGTGCCGGGATTACAGGCATGAGCCACTGCGCCCAACCTAAGAGTGTTTTTAAACTATTTATTTGGAGCTTGGTAAATACTTACTCAAATTAGTGATGGTTATGTTGCTAGCACAGCCCACATTAACATTTTGTACTAGTGATGTAATTGTATGACAGTGTAGTGCCTTAGAGCCAGGAGCAGGCAAGATGGGAAGCAAGAAAAAGAAGGACATCTCTCCCTTGTCTTTCATGTGTGCACAGCCAATTCCAGGCGGGATTTCAGATAAACAGCATGTCTGCCATTTCTTAGAATACTCTTCTCGATACTCTTAGAAGAAAATTTGTTGATATATTGAACTAACCTGAAATTCAAAATGACTTTTAAACAAATGTTTCTTAATTTATGTTTTTTAAGGGCGTTTTTGAGTAGTATTTTTAGATTCCTTTGCTTGCATTTTAGTACTGTACTCTGTACTCAGATGCACAGGGCTTCCGTGTTGCCTTTGATATGCCACCTCATGGAGGATCTTCACTTTAAGACTAGTCCCTTTTTTCTTTTCTTCACATATTTTTGTGTTTTTCATGTTTTATTTTGGAAAATTTTAAATGTATACAACAGAATGATTAATATGTTGAACTCCAGTAATAATTACCTGATCATAATAATTATCAATATTTTTTTAACTGTGGTTCAGCTATTCTTCCAAATTAATTTTCCTATAGTATTTTAAAGCCAATTCCAACATCATGTCCTTTTCCCCATAAATATTTCAATATGCATCTCTGATTTGGACCTTTTTTTTTTTTTTTTTTTGAAATGGAGTTTCGCTCTTGTTACCCAGGCTGGAGTGCAATGGCGCGATCTCGGCTCACCGCAACCTCCGCCTCCTGGGTTCAGGCAATTCTCCTGCCTCAGCCTCCTGAGTAGCTGGGATTACAGGCACGCGCCACCACGCCCAGCTGATATTTTGTATTTTTAATAGAGGCAGGGTTTCACCATGTTGACTAGGATGGTCTCAATCTCTTGACCTTGTGATCTACCCGCCTCTGCCTCCCAGAGTGCTGGGATTACAGGCGTGAGCCACCACGCCTGGCCCCGATTTGGACCATTTTTTAACAATTCTCATGCTATTAGCCTACCTAACAAAACAATAATTCCTTAATCTATGACTCCATGTGGTAGGATTTTAATTCATTTAATAAAGATTTTTTAATTATGCAAGTATGTCAGGATGGGAAAAAGGTTTACTGTGTAAACAGAACATCCTTTTCTAAGTAGGTTCAGATCTCATGGAAATGTCTTACTTTTCATATCTTTATGCATTTTTTTCTATTTTTAAACCTACATACTCCTCAAAATCTAGTTCTAGCTCTTGTTTACACAGAGAGAAACAGTATCAAAATTTGTACTTTAAAACCATAGTTTGTTTTGGATTAATGGAGGGGAGGGGTTATGATATTCTAAATGCCAGGAGTTTCTAAAATTCTGCATCTCTCCACTATCTTTATTGAGACCTATCTGCTCTAAAACTATCCTGCGCAGGCCTTCCCACTCAGATGCCTTGAGTGCACAAT